AGGCCGAGCCCCTCGAGAGCGGGGACGGCTCGATCTACCCCCCTACCTACGCGCCGTCCTACGCGCCGACCTCCGCGCCGGCGGCGCCGAGCCCGGAGCCGACGACGAACCCCGACTGCGCCGCGCTCGCGCCCATCACCGCGGCGCACTGCGACGGCCTGACCATCGGCGCCATCGAGGCCCTCGAGCGCTGCGACGCCGTCGGCCTCGCGCACGAGCAGCTGTGCCGGTCGCGGTCCGGCGAATGCGGGACGGACGCGGACCTGCGCAACTGCGGGCCCTACGCCGTCTACGCCGTCTTCAAGCCGCCGCCGTCGCCCGCGCCGTCGGCCGTGCCGACGCGCCGGCCGACGCCGGCGCCGTCGGCGCCGCCGTCGCCGGAGCCGTCGCCGGCGCCGTCGACGCCGCCGCCGTCGTACGAGCCGTCGTACGCGCCGACGGCGCGGCCGACGCCGGCGCCGACGCCGGCGCCGTCGTACGAGCCGACGACGTCGCCCGCGCCGTCCGCCGCGCCCACGCGCTCCCGCGCGACGTGGCACGCCGTCGCGCTCGCGGCCACGGGGCGCCCCGCGGCGACGGACGGCTTCGAAAAAGCGGCGCGCTACGCCGTCGCGGACGTCGTGCCCGTCGTCACGGCGCCGGACCAGGTCGTCGCCGCGTCCTTCGCCGGCGGGCTCTTCGCGGTGACCGTGGACGTCGACACGTGCCTGACGGCCGCGGGCTTCGCGCGCAACGACGACTGCCTCGCCGCGATCGCGGGCGCGCTGGCATCGGCCGCGGCGTCGGGCGCGTTGGCGGAGCGCCTCGACTACTACGCGGCGGTCTTCTCCGGGGCGGCGCCGGGCGACCTCGCCTTCGGCGGCGTCGTGGAGCGCTGGTGGATCTTCCGGCCCGACGACGGCGGCGAAGGCGACGACGGCGACGACTTTTACGACGCGCTCGAAGACGTCGACGCGAGCTTCGCGGCCATCGTCGTCGCGGCGCTCGCCGCCGTCGGGCTCTGCGGCTGCGCCGCGCTCTGCGTCTGCGCGCGGCGGTGCCGCCGGCGGCGGCGCGCCGCGCGGCGGAAGGACGCCAAGGAGCGGGCCGCGCTCGCGGCGCCGCCGTCGCGCGCGCTCGCGGACGTCGCCGCGCTCGCGGCGCCGCCGCCGCGGACGCTCGCGGACGTCGCCGCGCCGCCGCCGTCGCCGCCGCCGCCGGTCGTCGAGCGGAAGCGGCCGTCGCGCGCGTGGTCGCTCCTCCGGCGGCGGAGCGCGTCGTACGACCTCGCGCCGACCGAGGAGCGCAAGGACCCGGAGGTCGGCAACGTTTTGCTCCGCGACTTCGCGGAGCCCGAGGGCTTCGACGCGGACGCGTTCCGGCGGGCCGCGGCGGGCGCGGCCGACGCGCCGCCCCCCGCGCTCCTGCGGGGCTTCTCGCCGCGGCCGGGCTTCGACGAGGACGAGTTCCGCCGCGCGGCGGCGCGCGCGGCGCCC